CGTGCACTCGTTAAAAAGACTTCTAAACGAAAGAATTATCAATGCATGCAAGACACTATTCCAGTATTGCTTAGTTACTATTCATACTTTGTTAATCGCTCATGGTTCCCACAACCCTAGTTGTGGGGTTTAGTTACCCATAATCATATGAACACAATTCATTGTTTTAGATGAAAGAATTATGAACTTACGTAAGAAGAATAATAAACCCAGAAATTCAACTTGAATTGCAACACCAAAATCTTCAAAACGCACTTTGGAACTTAAGAATTGTAAAAGTTGCAAGTTAATCTCACAAGTCAAAAACTAAAATAAAATAATAATGTCTAACCCCCAAAAATGAGGTTTACATGCCCTATTTATAGAAAACAAATCCTAAATAAAAAGGGAAACAAAATAAGGAAAGTTTGTAACAGACACGTGTCTTCATCCCACGAGACTGACTCATAGACTGTCAATGGATCTACGATCCGTGATTCCCTTCCGTCAGCCAGGACTTGGAAAATATTTCAACTTTCAAAAATCAGCTTCTCTGAAGCAAACGACGGAACTGCAGTACAGACCGTAAATAGATCTACGGTCCGTCAATCCCCTTCCGTAGCTCCACACTTTGAATCTTCAAAAATCAGGTACTGAAACCCTCGCAGTATCAATCTTCGGATCAACAGTACGGTCCGTAGATCAATCTACGGACCGTCAATGGGCACCGCGGTTCCACACTTGGTCAAATTTCCCTGATTTGCCTTCCATGCCTTGGCTGCTGGTCTACGACTACCATCTACAGAGCGTCAACGGATCTACGGTCCGTAGATGTCCTCCGTAGATGCCCTTTTCTGCAATTCTGTCAGTTGTCTCTTTAATTCCGCGCCTAAACATCTTTCCTGCAAAATATGATAAAACCACATGAAAACTAATACAAATAAAACCCTAGATACACACAACTTGTAAGTGAAATGTATTAGAAATACCGTAAAATCACGGTATATCAAGTCGCATGATCCTACCAGTACACTGTGGTTGTGTACTGATACTGCACTTGTTTGTTCTTTGTTGAGTAAAGGGCATCTTCATGCAGCTACTGACAGACCTCAGTTAGTTGACTTTGAGCGTGACTGGATTCAAGGGTGAGTCAATTCTTTCAGGCTGCCATGGATCTCTCTTGTTTAAGTCCACTTTTTCAGACTCAGACTATTTGTTTAGGGTGTTTTGTTTAGTTTACGGGGGTGCGCCCCCTTTTCTTAGAGTTGCTAGTTAATAGATGTTTTGGTACAATGATTTTCAGGTTCTAGGGGTTGAATTTTCGCATTAGTTATGTTTCGTTGTTTTAGTTGAACCTTTCGAGTTTATGGGGACTCCCTTTTTTTGTCATTTAAACCTACTTCTGTATCTTTAAATGCCTATATTTTCATTAAGTTGTGTAGTTGACTTGTAGTAATGGTTCTCCCACCAGAGGGTTAGTGTGGGTACCACTCACGACTGTCTGGATCGTGACACCTACAAAGAGAATAAGAGAATAAAAATAATTAGATTCTCTAAGGGAAAAAAATCTCAAGAAACTACAAAGAAAAACAAAAGAGGAAAAAATCAAATCATTATTTCTAAAAAAATAATCATGATTTGTATCATCAAGAAGCCAAAAAAAACAACATTAATATATAATTACAATAGAAAAAAAGTGATGGTTATATTATGCATGTCGAATCATCTTACCTCGTAAAATCAAACTATGCTAAAATATCTAATATTCTTCATTATACATCTTTCTCTTGCAAAATCAGATCAAAGAAAACATAAAATTAACCAACCAAAGAGACAAAAAATGAATAATAAGAAAAAGATGAAAATAAAATAATCATCAAACATGTCTCAAAATAGGTTTTTATAAGTGTGATTTTAAGGATTTATAAATTTGTATATTAAATAATTTGAAGGTTATGAATATGAAAGGTTAGGAGTTATAGACATTACTCTCTCTGTCCACTTTTATTTGTCATGTTGTTTTTCAAAAGCCAATTTGACTAACTTTCAAAGTTAAATTAGATTACATTAATTCATTTTATTTTTTTTAAAAATAGTTATTCAAAAACTATACGAAAAGTACTATAAAATCCATTTTTTTTTGCATATCAATATGATGAAAAAATATATCGTAAAATGTTAGTCAAAGCTATTATCGTTTTACTCTAAAAAAGAAAACTATGACAATTAAAAATGGACAGAGGTAGTACTAAATTAATAAGGATTTGAATTGAATTGGATTTATGAAAATGAAGAGGTATGAATTAAGGAGATGATTTTATAAAATAGAATAATTGAAAAAAATTAGAAAAGATGTCAAAAAAACCACAAAAAGATAAATAAGATCCTTGACCATTGAGAGGTGCCACATCACCTCTTTTTTATCTAGCTATATATATATATTAGATTTTTTCCTTAATTTATTCTTTAAAAAAATCAGAGAAAAGGTAAACTTAAATATTTTCTCTTTCCTTATTAATACTACACTATTATATCTTCCTAAAATTCTTCTTTTACCTTCATTGTTTTCCGTTTTTCCTCCAAAATAAATTGTCCTTTTTGAAATTTCACGAAAAAGACTCATTTGCATTTTTTCTTTCCTCATTAATACTATACTATTTATATCTTTCCACGATTCCTTTTTTTTTTTTGTCTTTTTTTATTTTATTTAATTTATAAAATATTTGCAAATACTCCTCTATAACTCTAATTACAACTGAATATTACAAATGTAACTGTAATTAGACAAAGTTATATTCATTTTTTTCTCCTTTATTTTGACTTTTTTTTTTTAAAAGTCACAATTAATTTATTACAAAAGCTCATCTTTATACCCATGACTATCAACCTTTCATATTTAAAACTTCCATGGTCATGATTCATCTCTCATACTTTTGTAACAGAGAAAAATTGGGACACCATTCAGAGAAATAAGTAATAGTTGAAAGTTACTCTTTTAGACTATGTATTATTTTGTTGAAGTAGCATTTTTTTAATTGTGTTTTTTGTAATCTATAATTAGTAGATCCTACTTATATTTTTTCTTGTTCTAATTTTAAAAAAAATGTTCTTATTTGTTTATGTAGATAGTGATGAAGATTAACACCATGGGTAATTTTTCTTATGCTAATTTCAATACAACTTGAAGACATACTATACAATAGTTAAGTTTAGGGATAAAGGTCTGAAAAATACTTCAACTTTGGTCGAATTTGTTGTTGCGATACTAAATTTTCATGAGGACCTATTAACTCCCTAGACTATTTAATACCATATTTTAAACATATATTTTTGCCCACGTGGACATAAAAAATAATGCAAAATTATAAATAGTAATGTGTCCACGTGGGCACATATATACCTTCAAAAATACACTATTAAATAGTCCAGGGATAAAAAATACGGTATTAAATAGTCTAGGGAGGTAATAGGTCCTCATGAAAGTTTAGTATCGCAACAGCAAATCCGACCAAAGTTGGGGTATTTTTCAGACTCTTATCCCTTAAGTTTATAAGCAAAAGGCAGTTAATAATGATTTTACTCAAGATATAGTTCAAATTGCAATGTCATTTTTGATATTTTTTATTTGTGTAACATCCCGCCTTAGAAAGAGCTAAATTTAGAAAACGCTAAATTGGAAATAACTAATTTGAAAATTTTGCAAAGTTATGCTAAGCTATGAGTTTTTGGTCAACTTCAAACGACCATAACTTTCCGTACAGAATGAGTTAGGTGGCCCATAAGATATCAAATGAAAGGTCTTGGAATCCTCTTTCCAACTCCACCGAGTTTGCTAAGTTTCGAGTTTGGATGAAGGAGATATATCCGTTTAAAGTTATCATGTCCAGTTAAAGAAAGTTACCCGAACTAATGAGGGGTATTTTGGTATTTTCCTTATCCCATTGGATTAAAAACGTTTTTAGTAATATTTTGGGGTCAAATCAGATTTTGGTCAGTTTTACATTACGCTTAGGGTTTTAGAAGAGAGTTCAAGAAGAGAAAAGAGGAGAAAAGGAAGAACGATCAAGATTGCTTGCGAATCAAGGGATTGTTTTGCCAAATCGAGGTATGTAAGTTCTCATAGTGTTGGATTCGTTCACCCACACGCCAATCATGTTTTACATTATCGAATTCATCCATAAAGATTGAGAAATTTAAGTTCTTGATGGGTGTTCTTGAAGTGTTGCTCTCCATTCTTGAATTTTGATGTTTGGATGAGTTCTTGAGGCGAAAATCTTGTTGATGAGTGAGTAAATTGATAGTTCCTGGGTGGGTTTCACTGAAATTGTTCTAGGTTATAAGAATTCAAGAGGTTTTACCGTAGAAGTTCAATGGGTATGAGTTAAATTGAGTTTGGGAAAGGAAGAAAAGATCGGGCAGAAATAGTTTCCTAGATCTGCGCAACTATTTCTGTGAAATTATCAACCTTAGTATCAAGTTAAGCGAAATTATCAACCTTAATGATACCAATACAATATATGATATTGATTTAGTATTAGTTAAGCGAAAATTATCAGTCTTAATGATATCAATATAGTATATGATACTGATTTAGTATCAGTTAAGCGAAAATTATCAGGCTTAATAAATGGGGGTATGGGCTGTAATTACATATGAGAGAATGTACATGTATTTCAGGAATTACTTTGGATTTGAGTATGAACTTGCATTTGTTTTGAATTTTATTGCCTATTTATATAGTTTCCCCTAATTATAAATTAATAATTGATTCAAGTATTACTTAGCTTCCTAAATCAATGTATAATTTCTTTAGGAGTACTCTTTAGCTTGCAATAAACCAAGGAGGTGAAAAGTTTAATTTATTAAATAATATATATATGATAAATAGTATTGTAAATTGAATAATAAGTTCATTTAACCAATCAATAACAAAACAACGATTCATTTGAATAGCAAAACAAGGATTCAACTTAGAAATTATAAGATGACATATTTAATAAGTAGCACCATACTAGATAAGATACACTAAAGAGGCTCACACACTAAACATATTACCTAAATTGAACATAATAACATACTTATATGTTCATGTCTCCAAAGTGAAATTACTCAATCATCATTATTACATCTTCTTACCAAATTACGTAGATGCTTCACAATAAGAATAGCTTATGTAGTGAGCATATGTTAGAACTGGAATATCTCATTTTGTACAGTTAGTGGGCATTGAAAGTCAGTCAAATTCTGTGTCATGTTAGTCACGGTGTATTGCTCATCTATCTGCAAAATACACAATGAAAATAATAATGTTTATGATGTATTATAAGTTAAAAAAAAGAGAAACAAAGAGTTTGAATATTTGGAATTCCAAATATCTTTGTTGTCTTACCTTATCCTGTAAATATTTGTTTGCAGCTTCCAGTATCCCTTCCTAATATAAACATGATAACATTTTTAGTAATTAAACTAAAGGTTGTAAGAAACAAGTACTACCACTAAATATTAAATCCTAATATGCTTAGAAACTTTACATCACGTTTGAAGATGTCGTGTCGCAAATAAAAACCCATAAATCTCATTATATTGGAACAAACTTCACTAATTATAATTACACGAGTAGAATTATACTACCTTCATCCTAAGATAAGTGTTATCTTAGCTCATTTCACGCCCATTAAGAAAAATAATAAATAGAATTGAAAGACATCTTCTTCAATAGTAAACTTCTTTGTTCAACATATTATGCACTGTAAATGTAATATAAAAGCTGGATATTGCCTAACCTTATTCTTCAGCAGTTGGATCTCTTGAAACATAATATCCATCTACAAGATAGTTTTAGAAAATCAAACAACTCTCATTTCACATGAATAAAAGTACTAGAATAAATAATTTCAACAACAAATTATATACTGCTTTGATGAAATTATTACCTTTGCTGAACGAATATGATACATCCAAATTTCTAGGTACTTTTCAAGTGAATGCAGTTCATCCAGTGTCATTGTTCCAGCGCCTCCCCCATACATGTAGCTAAGGAGACGTTTTTTTGATAATTAAACTTTATAGCATTATTGACGAACAAGAAGAACAGAAAGAGAAGAAACTAATAATTAGTTGAATGCATGGTACTTAAGTAACTAAACTTATACTCCAACATTCAATTCAAACATGGGTTTGATTATTCCCCGAAAGGTATCATTCTCTTTTTTGAGCCAATTTTTAAGGAACTTTGGATAGAGCTAGACGATAGATATTCTCAAACCAGTGGACAAAAAATTGTATGAGATTCAAAAGTAAATCAACAATAACACACAAGGAGTTATGTATATTACTAGCTACTAGATAAGGATGATGAAATTATGGAACCAACCGAGTACTTTGAGCCTCAAAAATCATTGCAACTGCACATGCATATGTGGAGCAAATGACAGTATGTCTAATTCAATTCCTTATTGAATTGAACAAATTATACACAGTGGGAAGAGGTAGGTATCCTAAAGAGAGAGTATTCTATGTCACAAACATCTTCCCTATTGATTCGAGAAGAGAAACAAAGAGAGTTTAATAAAATATTCAATCGATTGACAATGGAATTAACCTCATTGAATGAGAACACTTTCAATAATAAGAGTCCAATGGGAAAGATTTTTGGGATAAATTATTCCAGCAACATATCCGGGATACAATAATTAATTATTCAAGAAACAACAACAACTACACAGGAAACAATTACTATTCATAAAGTAGTAATAGTAGGAATGCCTTAACTAATGACTTTCATAAGAGGCATGGACACATGCACCAAGGACAAATGCTATAAATTGCATGGCTATCCCTATAGTAATTCTCACAATAGCAATTAAAACTACAAAGTAATCAAATTTGTAAGGGAACGAGTACTATGGCTAATACAGATGGTATATCAAGTGACATGATATTTACTCACCGGATTGGCACGGTGATGTATGTATCTATCTTCAGGAAGCTACGAGACATTCATAGGAAAATTATATTCTTTGATTCATTATCATATGAAATTAGTTATCTATTGATTTCATTCACTCACATGGTGGGAACGAGATCAGTTGCGATACAATATGATGCACCCACACCCACTGCTAGGGTCCTAATTCAGGGTCATGGTAGAGATAGGGCAGGTGTTATTTCTCCATCTCAGGGCCGTGCTAAAGAGATGTAACCTTAGCCTAAGATTGAGGATATGGATTTTCATATGGAAGGTTTGGGGATAGACCAGGTTCCACAGGGCTTCGTAGCGACTAGAGTTCTACTAAATTCTATGTTGTGCATTATGAGTTTATTGGAGGGTATGGCTTAGACATGAAGTCTACCTATCACCCCCGATGGTTCACATACTAGAGTTGGGGTTCAACCCCGAGAGCTGGTATATGTTCAAGGCTTTCATACTCCGAAGGCACAGTCAGTTGCTGATGTGGCTCCTAGAATGGATGTTTTTCCAATATCACTTGTTATGGAAATACTTATGAAAATAGTTGAGGAGTAAAATATGTTTGATAGATTTGTTTGAATGGGTCTTCCTTGTTTCACTGGTGCACCTGCGAAGGATGCTTATGAGTTCTTGGTTAGATTTTAGGAGAGGTTCCATAACCTTGGTTTATTTGATTGAGTTACATGGTACATACTTCACTACTTCTTAAATAATAGGACTTCACCTTCTATATTTTGGATTTAGTTTTTTGAGGCCTTCTTGGGGAAGTATTTGCTCGTAGTATGAGAGGGAGTCTGAGGGATCAATTTAATGATCTAGAGAAGGCTATTGTGAATGTTACTAAGTATAAGACTAGGTTACATGCCTTGGGTAGACATGCATTGAGGAGCATATTTACAAAGGAGGAGAGATTTAAGAAGTTTGTGAAGGGATTAATTAGTCCTCTCCATTTGTCTATCAAACATCTATTGACTATTAGCGCTACTTTTCAGGAAGTGATTGATCATGCTAAGAGTAGTATTGAGTAGATTTGCCATAATGCCTATAAAGGCAATGACAAGAGGTTTGTAAACATGGTAGTTTTAGTAGTTCATCATCTAGGGCAAGGAATTCTTGGGAAGAGGTCACGATTAACAAACTAGTATGCCCATTCAGCCTGTACTACAAAATTTCAATGGTAGTTATTCACGCACCTATGGTTTAAGATAGATTTCTATGGGTTCTCGTTTTGGATTCACAAGCCATGACAAACATTTTAATTTGTCTCATCAGCCTACGTCAAGCAAAGAATGTTTCGATTATGGTGAATTGGGACATTGCTAATGAGCGCTCTAGGAACAAGTTGAGTGGGGATTAATAGGGTTTATAGGTTAAGACCCATCTATTTCCAGCACCACTATCTAAAGGGGATTCAGATAGTAGGAAAGGTGGTTCTCAAAATGCTAAAGGTGGGGCTCATACTGATTTTGAAATATTTAATAGATGCACATTGTACGAGAGTGGGCATAGTCAATATTATATTTTTTCAGGTAGACTAGAGGTCGAGGCTTTAGATGCAATCAATATAGGTACTATTCGCTTTGTCATCTTTTAGTTTTGGTGCTATTTGATCCTGGTTCTAATTATTCATATGTGTCTACTTATTTTTCTATGCATCTGGTTATGATGTGTGATTCACTACCGTCCATATTCGTGTTTCAACCATATAGGTGATTCATTAGTAGTGGATCAAGTGTATCTATTTAGTGTTGTGAATATTTAGGGGTATGATACTTGGGTGGATCTCCTTATTCCTAATATAGTAGATTTTGATGTAATTTTAGGTACGAATTGACTATCTCCTTATCATGTTATCTTAGATTGTCATGCCAAGACCATTACTCTAATAATGCCTGGTATTCCTTAGTTAGTGTGGAAAGGTATGATTAGTCATGCCCCAAAAAAGGTGATTTTATTTTTAAAGGCGAAGAGAATGGTAGAGAAGGGTTGTTTGGCTTACTTAGAATACATTTGGGATACTAGTGTTGGTACTCCCTCATTTAAGTTTGCTCATGTGATGAGTTAGTTTGCGGAGGTATTTTCAACAGACTTACTAGGCATTCCACCAGGTCATGACATCAATTTTGGCATTGATTTATAGTCGAGCACTCAACCCATTTCCATTCCACCCTATATGATGACAATGTTAGAGTTAATAGAATAGTTGTAGGATTTGTTGAGTAATAGATTCATCAGACCTAATGTTTCCCCTTGGGTTGCTCCTAGTATGTTTGTAAACAAGAAAGATAGTTCTACCCAGATGTGTATTGACAATTGGTACTTACATAAGTTGTTTATCAAGAACAATTATATGGTACCTCTCATTGATGACTTGTTTGATGAGCTTTAGGGTGCTTCCATGTTTTCAAAGGTTGATTTAATATCGGGCTACCATTAGTCAAAGATTCAAGCTTTAGACATTCTTAAGATTGCCTGTAAGACTCGTTTGGGACATTACTAATTCATAGTAATGTTTTTGGGTTGATTAATACCTTAGAGACATTTATGAGTTGATGACTGGGGTATTCCGACCACATTTAGATTCATTCATCATTTTGTTCATCGATGACATCTTGATCTATACTATGGATAGAGCGGAGCTACCCCTCTCATTATTTGAAGTTGGTAGTTGTAGTTTTCTCTTTGAAAATTTGGAGGCATTACCTCTATGGCGTTCATTGTGAGATCTTCGCCGATCATCGTAGCTACAATAAGAAGGATCTCAATTTTAGAAAACCTAGGTGGTTAGAGTTTCTCAAGGACTATGATATGATAAAAAAATTATCACTCGAATAAGGACAATGTGTTAGAGAATCCCTAGGGTAGGAAGGAAATAAGTATGGGTAGTCGTGCATTGTTGTTAGTTGAGGAGCATCCTTTGGCTTTGTACATTTAGTTATTAGCCAACCATTTGATGTGACTTGATATTTCGAGCATGAGAGGGTTCTTGCTAGTGTAGGCTTAGTCTATTCTCTTGGAGTTCATTAAGGCTAAACAATTTGAGGATGAAAATTTAAGGTTGAGACAATGTGTTTAGGTATAAAGCTAGAGAGGTAGTATTAGATTCGGAGGGAGTTTTGAGTATTAAGGGTCGTGTTTGTGTTCCTAAAGTGTGTGACTTAACTAAATTGATTATGGATAAGACTCATAGTTGTAGGTGTTCTATCCATACAGGGGCAGCGAAGATGTATCATGATTTCAAGCAACATAATTAGTGGTGTAGGATGAAGATATGGCTATATTTGGCTTTTCCCTCTATGAGATGAGCCCAATACTGGAACGATGGATAAGAGAACTGTGTTGGCATAAATATTTCATGGAGTATGTGTGTCAGTGTTTAAATTGATAGCAAGTAAAAAATGGGCACCAAAGACCAAGTGAGCTGATTTATAGGATGCCAATACCCAAAAGGAAGTAAAAGTGGATAGCTATTGGTTTTTTGGTAGGATTACCACAAACTTCAAGGAAATTTGGTGGCATTTGGATAATTATTGATAGATTAGCCAAACTGTTCACTTGATACCAGTCCAAACTAGCTACAATTTGTAAAAGTTGGTGCAAATTTACATATGAGAGATCAGTCATTTTCACAGTGTTCTTATTTCCATCATTTTATAGGGATACTCAATTCATATCTCATTTTTGGAGTTTGATGCAAAAGAATTTGGGTACCTGAGTTGAGCTTTGTACAATATTTCACCTATAGACGGATGGTCATCAGAGAGAACTATTCAAGTCCTTGAGGATATATTTTGGATTATGTCATTAATTTTTGAGGTCGTTGAGAGTAGTTTTTTTCCCTTTAGCTGAGTTTGTGTATAATAATAACTTCCATTTCAGCATCCAAATGGCATCAGTTGAGACTTTGTATGATAAGAGATGTAGATCTCCGTTGGTTTGGTTCGATGCCTTCAATGTTAGGACTTTGGGTAGTAATATGTTCAGAGATTTTATGGAAAAAGTGAAGTTGATCCAAGAGTGGCTTTTGACAACTAAAGTAGGACAAAAAGATACAAATAAAATA